TCCGGGTGCTGGTTCCTCTATACAGACTATTAGCCTATAGTATCAGTTCTTCCAGCCAAGAAATCCTACCAAGAGCTTCAGCTGTGCTGTGCCTGAGAATAAAAGCAAATGGAGGAGCAAGAGAATTCCAAACCAGAACAGTCAAAACCGTGAGAAGGATGAGAAACTAAATAAAGAAGGGAAGGGGCATACACCTGGAACTGTGTCCTTTTTGGGGGAAGGGGGTAGGAAGGGTACCTTGCTAAGAAATAGTCAGCAATAACAGCATATTCTATCATTAACTTTTGGCCATTTCTCATCAAGCAACCTGTGCACCTAGTATGTTTAAACCACTGCAGTCATATTACTTGAATGCCATCTATAAAAGAATAAATGTGTATATATCTAAAGAGTGGGTGTAATTTTAACTATATATTATGTTTAATTTATTTGCTCCCCATCTTGTGTAGTTTTAACTATGGTTTGGAATTATCCTTTTCCAGATCTTCCTCATCCTCACTTAACCCATTTACAGAGCTGTACATGTCTGTTTCTTGGTTTTTAAGCTTATGCAAAATTACTGGGATAATAAAGGGCAGTAGACTTGTCCTTATTTTAATCCACAACAAAACAATGAATACTAATATTCTTTATGATAGCAAAAATTGGGGGTGGGGGGAACTATATATCTAGCATTAAGAAAATTAACTACAGTATACCCTTCACAAGGGAATACAGTAAAGCCATTAATATGAACATACAGTCTTATACTTTTTTACAGAGAAGGACAGTCCCAATATATTAAGCAAAATAAGCAAATTAGAAAACAGTAGGTAGAGGAGGCACAGAATGGGAAGATATTCCAAAATCTAGTTTTTAACTTCTGGGTAGGATTGAAGTCAATTATTTTTCTTTTTGCATATCTCTAGTTTCTGATTTTTCTATAATAAACTGTTTTATTTCAAATAGCTGAATGTTTTAAATGTAATAAAACACAGGTAAAAACTAAGTTGAAAATGATATTGACTAGGCTGCAAAGGTCTACCGAAGAGACTGTGTCCAGCGTGACATATGCATGAAATAAGACATATAGTTAGCAGGAAAGGACGGGCTTACCTTTAGGCCAGCTGCTACGTGAGGCGGGGTGTCCACAATCTGCCGGTCATCTGAAGAGCCGCCTCGCTTTAGGTCAATTACCGGGGCAAGGACTGTACTTTGTTTTGTTCTCTGGCTCTAAAATCATTGAAAAACAGAGAGAGTTTACTGAAGCTTCAAATAAAAATTCATTCTATTTATAACAAGTTTTTTTGAGGGGGTGGGGGAGTCTTTTGTAATGAACCTTTCGGATACAAGAAAATCATAATTTTAAACTAGTCTTTTAATTCTATTATTACTATAACCACATACTAGTTTCATTGGCTTTTTTTTTTTTTTTACACAAAACAAATTTTCCCCACTGTCAAAGACTTATAGTAAACTTTGTCAGTTTTATTTAAATTTGCATGTGAAACCATCTCCACAATGGATTCTCCTTTGACCAGGAGGGCAAATCTATAACAGCATATTATGCTTTGACTAGTGTGGATCTTTCACAAGGAATGGATATTTTTTTATATCCTGGGCAAAACAGGAGAGTTTTTTCCCCTACCAATAGAATATAAAATATTGTCCTACCTGTTTTATTTTGAACCTACAGAAAAAAAAATTTTTTCTAAAGAAAACATGATCATTCATATACCATCAACCATTGTTAATATTTTATCATATTGTTTTACCTTACACCTGTATTTTATGTTGAACCATTTGAAGAAAATTTGAAGACACTATCCTTAATCAGCTAAAATTATGAACATCCTTTTATATAACCACAACACTATTACCAGACCAAATAAAATCAAGAATACCCTATATCAATTCCTATCCAATTCATACTCAGGTTTTCCAAGCTAACCCCCAAATGTCTTCTAAATAGTTGATTTTATTTTGAACCAGGATCCTACCAAAAGTCCATAATGCATTTGATTTAGGAAAATCCTCCCTCCTTGCTGTCATCACTATAATCATCATTTTTGTCTCCTCTTTTTCTTCTGACACTGTCTTGTAAAATGCTGCACATTTTAAGATCTGTTTGATAAATTCCTGGTGGTGTAGTTTCACTTATTCATCTATGCCCTACAATTATTGAAAACTAAGTTAAATCTTGATTAGGTTAGAACAGTGCTCTTTGGCAAAAAAAGTCATAGGTGAGGTGGTGTGCTTTATGCTACATCACCCCAGCAGGCACACAACTCAGATTGTCTGTTAATAATGCTAATCATGACCCAATGAGTACAGAGGTGTCTATTTGATCTTTTGGTTAGAAAGGTTTAAGTTGCCTCTTCCTTTGCAATTTTAAAGTGTTATGCATTTTCATTGTTATCAATCACTATAAAAGGCTAAAAGCCACCATCTCTCTTGAATTTAACATCACTTATTATTTCAAGCAAATAAATTTAATCCAATCAATAAGTTACAATTCACAAGGTAAAAACCAAAGTTTAAAGGACAATGGAGGAGGGCGGTATCAGAATCATACATTTTTCTATTTGATATCTGTTTTTAAAATGGGATACAGAAGAAACCACAATTTCAGTCTGTAGGCAACATTTTCTCTACCAAATACCTTTGGTTATGACAACCTGGTACTGAGTAATTAATTAGTAAATTAAATAGTCTAAGAGAATCAATGAAATGTATCTTCACTTCCTTTAAAGAAAAACACAACATTAATTCCACATAGGAATCTCAAAAGATATTAGAAAGTTAGAAATGATTTCATAAGCAACTTTTTATTTTGACCGATTAAAAAATCGATTTGAAATCTTAAGAGATCTTTGGGTAAGTGAAAAGATGATAAGCATAAACTAAACAGATACTACAGAGGATGCCTGAGAGTCTAGATTTCATATAAAAACATAATTCCTTGCTTATCAGCACCCAATTCTTTACTTTTTATGTGAGTAAAATAATGGTACAGAAAAATCAGTGTGTTATCCATAAATTTTATTTGCCTTAATATATTTCTTTTTGGAAGAGTCTATTTTCTAAGTTTTATTTTACTCAAGCTGATTTTTAACCTATATTTATAATTATGCACTGGCTGGAAAAGAAGGTGATCCTAAAGTACTAGGCAGGAAGAAACAAATTATCTAGGATTTTTGATTGGCTACAAGTAACTCACAAAGCTGACAATTTTTAAACTGATAATAAAGAATTATCCCAAGTAGTTTTTAATTTGTACATCTCTAGAATATTTTTACTTCTGCTTTTCTATTTTCTGTTCCTAAAAGTATTTGACAGTAACATTTTAATATCAAATATCCAGTGGGCACCTATGTTTTTAATGTTTTACATGTTGAATAATTTCAAGGATGCAGCCAATGCCCAACATGTATACAACTAGAACAAAAACAGTGACTCCCACACTACATACACCTGACGCATCCACAACCAATCTGAGCCCTCAGTAACACATACACATTAGAACAGCTTACTAATTACTGCAGAGCTTCCTTTCTCAAAGTGCTGATTCCAAACC